TCCATAGACATTGTCATTTTCAACAGAAATGCCTGGGTAGCCTATTCTAAACCAGAACTGTGGGTGTTAATTTGCCAGTTTGAGTCCACACTTATGCTCACTAGTAAAAGCTCTCATCCTGAAAAGGGAACTCTGTATTTATTTTTTTATATACTATAGTGACATTCTTTAAAATTATTAGAATAAAAAAACAAAACTAAAGCCACAGGCATTATTATTCCACAAATGCATGTAGACTTAAGTTCAACTTGTCAGATACAAGCAAATCAATAAGTTTTCTGAACTGAACACACGTTCTTTTTTCTTTTTTTTTATTTACAACATAAATACTGTGCTGTGCCAGTAGAAGGAAAATTATTCTCTTTCCTGCTACTTTAACTATGATGAAAGAGAAAGAGTTAATGTGCTTGCTGACAACATACTCACTGCTAACCTGATGTGGAATGACCAAGTGCATTACTCCTTTCCTTGTATCTATAGCTAGCACACTACTCTAAAAAACCAGCTCACCTAATGCTAAAACACCCTGTCCACCTATCCCACCCGTCTGACTCATGACCAGAGGAGATGGGGATGAATCATAAACCCTCTCCATAGACAGATAGACTCTTCTTCCTTTGCCTGACCACACAGACAATAAAGCAAGCTATGCCTTCTCGAGAACCAAGTAAGAATCACAGAGTCTTCACTAGACTGACCACAGTATTAGTGTCAAATGTATTCATTTCTGGACTGGCCAGGAAATATTCCTCCTGACCAGACTTTCTTCCTACAACGTGGCAAGTGCCACACTGACAAACCCAATAAAGAAATGCTGACAAGTGCATCCCATATCCCCACTGAGTTAAAGACCCCAAGAACAGGATTTCAAACATTTAGAACAAAGTACGTGCAGAATTATCATAAGAAAAAACATGTATTCAGGCAAATACCTGTCAGATCGTCCTCCTTCCAAGCTGTATCTTAGGTAGTTCATACCATCTAAGAACTGGCTGCTTGGTAAAGAGTCATCTCCTAGTTCTCTGAGGTCTTCTGGTCTAAGGTACTCTCCTCCATCTCCTGTCATGGTGTCATCACCTTTAAATCAATAACAAAGGGACAGAGATAAGCACACACACAAGTTTATTTCATTTCCATGCTGGAATCTAACAGCTGGATGGCACAATAAACAGGAAGGCATTTTCCACTCAGGAAACACTGCAAACCACAAGCAATTAATGTATTTAATGAAACTGCACATCAAGCAAGATTAAAACAAGAACATATATTGAAATCAAGATGATTAATGAATTAGATTTAATCTCATTTTTGCTGTTGCACTTACTGGTTGGTAAGGGGCAAATTTCTTTACTAGTCTCTAAAGCATGGTCTTTCTGTTCCCTTACCCATTTTAGCTCTCTGGTCACAGCTATACTGTATCACAGTCTGCCAGTTTATGATTAAATACAACCACTTACTTGCCTAAACCATGTATTTTCAGCTGAAAAGGTGCTTTCTGTGGCCTTACGCCTCATAGTTGCAAATCCTAATTTAAACTCTCCATTGTCCAAACTCCACATCATATGAGGCTGTCTCACCCATGTTCCAACATCCTTTTGTGATCAGCAAAAATACTCTTATTTCAAAAACATGTCAATATCCAGAAACTAAAAATAAGCTCACACACATAGATGCTAATGATCATTAATCAGAAAAGTACTTCATAATGAATAAAAGCCAAAATCATAACCATATAACCAAATTATTGGTTATCTTACATAGTAACCTTTTTGCATATACTCTGAATAAAAGGGTTTAGTATTTTTTTTAGGTCCAAAATTCTCTTCCCCAGGAAATTCTGTCTATGTGAAGTCACAGTTTGCTTTTCCCCAGCAGACTAACAAAACAGCTCACATTGCCAAGCAACATGTAGATGTTTCTTTTGTTTTTCATTTGCAACACGGTTTCCACAGCTTCTGCTTGGAGATTTCAGTTGTTTTCCAGGCTGCCAGAGCCTTGGTGTGGTCCACAGAACCACACGGCATAACCTGAGGCTACTGATACCTCCAGAATTTCTCATTTTCTAAGCCACACGGGTAAACATCAAGAACCTGAAGCTCAGTTACATGAAGGAGACTGCAACTGTTACACGGGAACAGTCTTTAAGGGCTACTCATTCCAGCTGCAGTAACACACCCCAGCATGCCGAGAAACACTAAGGACTGTAAAGGGTAGGTAAGTAGTATCCATGTTGTTTCAAAGAGAATTCATTTGGGCATCAGGACAGTTGCCACTTGTGTTATTTAGAGTCTTAATAAAGCAATTATTGTTACTGCTTCTATTTCTGGTAGAGCATCTTCCCCCCTTCCCTCCACCAGCTGTCCAAAGTGTTACTGGTATTACAAGCTATAGGAGAGATGCTCACTACTAAAGGAAGAAATCTTGATACCTGTTTTCATACAAAAATCAAAAAAGTTTTTCTAGCTTGATGATTCAGCTAATAAATAATTAATTTATAACTTCTCATCTAAAACCAAATAACCTTTGAGGGCTCCAAGATTTCTTTTGTAGACGCAAGTGCTGCATGCAAAAATGAGGCCTAAATCTTTTCAGTGTAGCAACAAAAGTTCTTGAAAATTCCATCTACCCACATTAAGAGGGAGAAACTGGGCACAGTTTCACAGAAAACAACAAAATGCATTTAATCATTGCATGTTTCCTGTCTTCTGACAGATGATGCCTCCTGTTTCCTGGGAATATCACATTATAAAGCACGGGGCTTAGTGAAAACTTGGAAGATATTAAGGCAGTGCTGTTAATCAAACAGTAAAAGGAATTTCAAGTTATATTTTGAATAAACTAGATACTTATAATCATGCCAGACATTCCATCTATAGTAGAAACAAAGGCAAAATCTTCACCACTTCCATCACACCCACATCCTTTAAAAAAAAAAAATCCCAACTCTTATTTCAGCTTTGGCCTCTCATCTGAGAGCTGTCAATAACGAGTCTACGTAACATAAGCTGGTTTATGTGAACATCTGCAAACAGTAACCAGACTATACATGAGTATTTCACAACATCTTCAGACCTTTTATCTGCTGGTATTACAGCTTACTTGCTAACATACTAGTATTGAGCAAGTGAACTAGAAGTTAAACTCACTCCCCACCAACCCCTTGTGCCCTTCCATCTTTCCTTAATGAGATGAACTCCCAGAACAAGTTGTACCTCCTAGTATACGAAAGAAAAAAATACGTATTTAAGTCTAAATGACTGTGCAGCAACATAACATTTCATACAATTGCAGTTATCCGGGTGTCTTAATTCCTGCTTTGCAGGGCAATTGCGGCTATGCAGACGGAATTACTCCGAATCTGTGTAACAAGCACACATTCATCCTGCCAGTAATACTGTGTTGTCATTAAAAAACTTTAACACAGCTATGTTCCTGAGCCTCAGTCGATTAAAAAATACACAGGCATGTTATCTACTGAAAAGAAGCTACATATTCATAAATATTACATATTTAGCTGACCGTGAGCCTCTTTACACAGCAAAGCTTACCAGATGGTGGTTTTATGGCAGTAGAAGAAATTGTCTTTTTTAATCAGACTAGAAACCATTCATCTGGCATCACATTCCTCATCAAATTAATGACAGTAATAATGAATAAGCAGTTTGTGACAAATATGGTCCCTGAAGTTGATGCTCAATGATTTGTAGTGACCATCTGTGAAATTACAAGCAAATTTTGATGAATCAAATCCCTTAGTGATTTATCTTTTATTTAATTGAATTAACACCTTCCTTCAGTGATGCCTATAGGCTTTCAGAGGTTTGCCTGACAGAGGAAAACACACTACAAAACACTGGGTGACCCTGCACTGTGTCCTAGTTAAAGCATTCCTGTTCAGCCTTGGCCTTAGCACTGCTACTACCCATCTCTCAAATAGCTCTCAAAATTGTGTTCAAATCTGCATTTCTGAATAACGTCATCTTCTTTAGGGCAGGTTTGAAAGGCAGTCTGCATCTGGGCAGATCTGACTGGACACTCAGTAAATATTTGCCTTACTCTAACCCATTAATAAAGAGAAAACAAAAAGCTGATTTTGATACTGTGATTTCATGTGTTTCAACACAGCTTTTGACCATTATAAATCATTGAATGGACTGCTAAGAGAAACAGGCTGTGTGCTGAGACAACATACCCGCCCCTTCAGTGACAGTCTGGCTGAACACACAGGTTTTCACCAAAACATCAGAACTGGAGACCCTTCACTGATACTGCCATACTTTAATTCTTAGTTTTCTTAAATTCTACAAAAGGAAGTAGTATGTCCTACCCATATAACCAATTATATCAAGCAACAATCATGAAGACTGTGAGATCAAAAATGCAACATTTACAAGACAGTAGCTCTGAGGCACCCATTACATGCACTTCTCAGCTTAGCAAATCAGTATTCGCTCACAGGAGAAGTGTTTCATTAATGAGTCTAAAACAGATCAGCTTTTCTTCAGAAATTATCCTCTGCTATCAGGGAGCTTTAACATTTGCACCACACCATTCTGAATATGTCCCTACAGAGTCAAATTGTTTAGGGATGCCTCAAGAAAGGCAGTTCCTACCATTCTCCTGCTTGTATGAGAATTGCTCTGGAATTGTTTACTCACAAAACATAAAGAAAATACAGGCAAAAGCTGGATTTTGTTTTTTTGTTGTGGCTTTTTCTTTTTTTTTTTAGAAAGAAAGAGGGCTGGAATAGAAACTGACAGAAATTGAATAGATGTTTTTAAAGCCAGATACATTTATGTGAGTTTGCCAAAATGATTGTTTTCTCTGCAGCATGCAGATAAGTCTACAGCTCCCCACACAAGTGCTGCTTCTTACGAGTAACAGATGGAGAAGGGACAGCTATCGCAAGCACAAATTTTTATGGAATATGTAAGTCCTGAAGCACCTTTACAGGAATATATAACACAGAATTTCTCTGACACTTTGTTTGGACACTTTTGCTTCCCTAAGTAAATCTTTGGTTTAATGGCCACTACACACTAGAACTTTCCCTGAACTACACTTTGGCCAGTGCTTTAAATTTCTTTATTGTTAGCCAGTCAGGAAAACAGGGTTTCATGTGTGGTTTCATATCTGACTCATGACTTCACATGAATCATCATGTCAGCCACTGGTAGCTCAATGCAGCACTTGCAGAAAGAGAGACAGTGACGCAGATGAAATGAAAAAAAAACCACCCTGTATGTCATGTCTACCCTCCAGGGTCTGTGGGGAGGGGAAGAGGCCTTGATTTTGTTTTCTCACAAAGTAACCTGCTGCAAAATGAATTTCAGTATTTCATTATGGTATTTATAAAGTTGGTACGTTGGATTTAGGTAGCAAACAATAAAAGTGCTGCCTTTTGAAACTGGACTAGAACAAACTATCCCTACCTCCCTAAGCCACAGAAGGTTTGGAAGGTCACTGATACTAATGGCATGTTGAAAGTCGAGGTGTGGTGGGACTACTACACAATGAACAGTCAAAGTGGGACTTGAATGAGCTCTCTGCATAGATTCAAGAGGAGCACTAAAGCGGATCCCAGACAGAACTCTGGGCAGGAAATGCCATTAAAAACAAGATATTCTCACATACAAGTCATCTTTTGGAGCTGTTTTGTTCCAGGGAACAACAGCCCAAGACTGCTGCCCACAGAAGGGGTAATGATCCTCTGACTGGGAGAGCTCCCTTTGGCTACAAAATGTCTGTAAGTACTGTCAGCATACATGAAATCTTTAACTAATGAAGATTAATGCAAATGTAAAAGCAACCAGTTTTTATCAATCATGAATAGGAATAACATCCAGCAGCTTTAAGGACAGATTTAGATCAGAAGGATAAGACTAGTCAAAAATACATTTCCCACTTTTACAATGCTGATTATGATTTACTTCAACGAATAAGCTGGTGCAGGCCTCCCCTATAACTTCAATCTTTGAAGAAAATAATCTGGAGCTCAACACTCTTCAGAAAATAACAATTTAGGAAATAACATACAAGTCAATACAGCAATATCTCCTGGTCAAGCACACGTTATT